ACCACCACAATAGTGAAAATTGTTATTTTACTTCATTCTCTTCAGCATAATTTCTATGATGGATCTAATTTCCATGTTATACTTTATAAAACCTATGACATTTTTTCCCCCAGGTCATTAGCATTACTCGTCCTGTGCAGCTATGCCTGCAATAATAAAAAAAACCCAGGCTCAGCTCTTAGCAGATGGAGCTGCTTTAAAATCTGATTTACACACCTCAAATTCTAAGACCATAAATGTCATGGACTTTTCAAATCTTTCATGAAAGCTTGACAAGGCCAGTATTTTCTACAGAAGACAGCAGCATTCTGAGTTGCACAATAAACACTCTTAGGAAGCACATTATCAAAGCTACTAGTTTACTTGCACGTGTAAGCTTTATTAGGCCCCAGGGTTATTGTCCTTGTTCTCAGAATTGCGTTATCTAACACCTTACTTGCAGTATGTGTTCCCTGTTGTGGTGTTTATCACCTTTGATCACTGGGCTAAGGTTATAATTTTTTGTACTTTGTATCATTGGCTTGTGACATGATAGAATCACTGGTCATGAACCTAATCCCATCTATGGCACTGCCTCACCTCTGCACCTCGAGAGCCATATAAAGGGAACTATTAACAAGTACACCCATATTCTCCTACATCTTCCCTTTCTCTAGGCTAATCGCAGTAGCATTTGGGAATTCTGAAAAATTTGAATACTTTTGGGATGCTGAAACCAGCATGGTCCTGTTTCTAGGAACCATGAATGTGATTCAGGTCTTGTTTAGAGGTGGAGCTCTGGCTTTGTCCTTTTGTCTTTTTGTGTATGTGGTGTTTGGTTTTTTTGCTTTGATTTGTTTGTGGGTTTGTTTTGTTTGCTTGGGTTTTTGTTTCCTTGGTTGGCTTTTATTTGTGTTTTTTGTTTGTGGTATTTGTTTTGTTTGTGGTTTTTTTTGTTTGTTTCTGTTTTAACTTTATTCCTATCAATTGTTCTTGTCTCAGCCCCTGAGGTCTGTGATTCTCCTCCCCATTTCCCTGGGGTGGAGGGAGTGAACAAGTGGATGCCATCTAGGTTTAAACCATGACATAGGGTTAGGCAGACTGCTGAAGCTGGGTAGCTTTTCATATACAAATGCCTGGATAAGGAGATAAGGGCTGCCAGACAGAGGCATTGCCTTTCACGTTATTAACATTCAGTTACATTGTCTTTCCAGGTTTATTCTCAGTTTGGAACACAAAAAAAAAGACTTTGGAAATCAGATGTTTACTTTCTTCTGTTATGTTGTTGGAGTTTATGCTGGTTTACAATGCATTTTATTTTTTGTATGCTCTTCTTCCTCTTCATAGTCATAGAGAGTTTGAAGTAATCTTGGTGCAATTCAAGTGAAAATCTGAGTGGTTTCAGTATTTCAGCCTGTTCTGAGTTCATAGAATCACAGAATGGGTAAGGGAAGGGACCACAGCAGGATTTTCACAAGTTAACACAGTTTACACAACCTAAGTTATTACAAGCTTACTGCAGAGATGTTTCTGAATGAAGGTGTTTCAAGCCAGTCATTTCTTATGTTGTTTAACTTGGTCATCTTAGAAAAAAATGGCCATATTGAACTAATGCTGAGGTCTCTTGCAGATCCAGATCCTGCAGATGTCAAAATACTCTCCATTGGATGAGCAGTTAAATTAAACTATCAGCTGCCTACCTGCAGTAATTTGATTTATGTTCTAAAATTGCCATCTTTTGCTTTATGTTGCAGTGGTGACATAACTGGTTATAAGTACGTTGAGCTTTAGCTTTTAGCATCTTGCCCCATACACTGTTATCTCACACTTCTGCAGCTGATACATGTAAAAATCCATCTTTTAAAGGATTTTGGAGAAACTAGAAATGTTAATCCAGCAAACACTGTTGTCAAATGATTTTTTTCCTAACTGAATTTACATAAAGAATTTAACTGATTTAAATTTCTGCCTCTGACTATGTGTTTCCTGAGTGACTTAATTAAGTAGCAAAATAGATTCTATCCCACATTAACTCATAGCTCGATTCATTCATTCAAGACCTCACACCTGGTCTTGTTGAACCTCATGAGGTTCCCATGGGCCCAATTCTCAAGCTTACCCTGATTCCTCTGGATGGCATCCCTTCTCTTGGGCATGTAAACTGTGCCATTCGGCTTGGTTTCATCTGAAAATTTGCTGAGGGTGTACTGGATCCTACTGTATGATTGATGAGGATTTTTAATTGTACTTGTCTTAATATAGACCCCTGAGGGACACCACTTGTCACGGATCTCCATTTGGACACTGAACTGTTGACAGCTATCCAGCCAATTCTTTATCCACCAGTGTTTGCATCAAATCCATCCCTCTCTAATTTAGAGAGAAAGGTGTTGGGGGGGACCATGTCAAAGGCCTTACAGAAGTCCAGATAGGTGACAGCCATAACCCTTCTCTTGTCCACTGCAGGAAGTCCACTAGGTTGGTCAGTGAGGATTTGCCCTTGGTGAAGCTGTGCTATCTGTCCCAAATCACATTCCTCTTCTCCAGGTGCCTTAGAATAGCTTCTAGCAGGTTCTGTTTCATCATCTTCCCAAGCACAGAGAGGAGGTTGACACTTCAGTAGATATCAGGGTCCTCCTCTCTACCCTTTTATAAATGAGTGCAATATTTCCCTTTCTCCAGTCACCTGGGAGTTCACCTGACTGCCATGAATTTTCAAATATGAAGAGTGGCTTGGCAATTACATCAACCCATTCCTTCAGGACTTTGTGATGCATCTCATCAGGTCTCATAGACTTATATGTTTGGGTTCCTCAGGTGGTCAGAAACCCAATCTCTTACAGTGGGATGGACTTTGCACCCTCAAGTCCCTGCCTTGAGAGGTGTGGGAAGAGAAATTGTCAGTGAATACTGAGGCAAACCAATTGTTGAGTATATCAGGCTTGTCCTAGTCTGTTATTGCCAGTTTACCAGTGGTGTTCATCAAAGGGGTACACTCATCAGCCTTGTCCTAGTCTGTTATTGCCAGTTTGCCAGTGGTGTTCATCAAAGGGGTACACTTTCTTTGACCTCCTTTTTTTTCTGGCTGACACACCTATAGAAGCCCTTATTGTTCTTTGTGTCCCTTTCCAAGTTCAGCTCCAGCCATACCTTGATCTTTCTCACCCCATCCCTACACAGCCAGGCAGCATCGCTTGCTATATTCTAATAAAAATCTAGGACAACAGTAGTTTGTCTTGGAACTTTTGGAGCACTAGTCCAAATACACTAAGTAAGCAGATAAAGAAGTCCAAATATACAAAGTAAGCCGATAAAAAGTCGTGTATATACCTTAAAGACCAGCTTATTACCTTTTAAAAGGCAATAAAACTATATTTGCAGAAGTTTCATGCAGTTTGTATATTTTTCTTGTCTTACAGGGATCAATTGCATATTGCCATTTTTACAAACCTGCACAGAATATTGCAATGCCTATGTCATCATCATCTGATATACATGAACTGGAGTTGAAAAACAGAGGAAATATTTAATACCTTGACAATTTCTATCTATTTCATCTTACATGTTTTTTACCACTCATCTATTTGAAAGTAAAATTGAAACTATCCAAACCAAAAGTCTGCAAAAATAAAAAGCTTCCTCAGGATGACACAGTCTAATATGGATGTCCCTTCCCTGGTAATCTAAAGCATATTTAGGAGTTTTTGTTTTGATAAAAGATTGCGGAATGAGTTTACTTGGGAAAAAAAAAAAGAATTGTAGGATGAATTTTTCACAACAAAACACATGTGCGGATGTCCCTTCCCTGGTTATCTAAAGCATATTTAAGAGTTTTTGTTTTGATAAAAGATTGCAGAATGAGTTTACTTGGGGAAAAAAAAAAGAATTGTAGCATGAATTTTTCACAACAAAACACATGTGGAAATATCTGGAAAAGCAGTGTCAGGACAGTTTGAAAAAAATCTTAACAAAAGACATGAGAGGACACCCTAAAGGAGGTATCCATCATCGCTTCCCCTGGCAGGCAGGTGCCAGGTTGCAAGAAACATTGTCTCTGCTTTTGTGACAGCTCGGTGACAGAGGTTTTTCTCCTGGTCTGGATAGATTTTTAATGTTTGCCCATTCTGAATCATGATGAAACCATGATTTATCAAATAACAGGAAAGAAAAGACCATCTGCTGCTGAAAGCAACAGCAATAAGATGCTTGCCTGGGAAGTTATGAGACAGTTTTAACTGTGCTCTGTTTAGTTCATCTTGTCTTGTACTCAACACTCAGTCTCCTATCACAGGCAAGTGTCCTGTTCACCAAGGCTCTGAGCTTGTCTAGAGCCTTTTGTCTTTTTCACTGGAGCAACTGTATTAGCTATTCCTTGTTCATAGGAAGGCCAAAATGGAGGGACAGTGTGTAGCTCAATGACTGTAGTGCCTCAGTCTTTTCTTATGGCTGTAGTTTTCAGGAAGAGCTCTAGGCTAACACTGGGAAATCTTCCCCATTAAAATTAGCATATGAATCCCCAGTATAGCATCTTTCACGGAAGAAAGTGAAATACAGATCACGCTATGTGTTTAAGTGGAACCCTGAGTGCTGAAATCCCCAATATAGCATCTTTCATGGAAGAAAGTGAAATACAGCTCATGTTATGTGTTTAAGTGGAACCCTGAGTGCTTTTTTGTATGGCACGGGAAAGGGAGAAAAATATCCTCATATATGTGTGCTGCCCTGATATTACTGTTCCTGCTGGGTAGTGGTCTGTGTTCGGTTGAGTTAGCTTTATTATAAATATGAGGATTCAAAAGCTCTCTGACTAAAGATCTTGCAGTTAGTGACTGCAGAATCACAGCATAGCTCCAAAATAGAAAGCAGAGGATCAGCATGTGACTCTTCACTCTGCCTTTCCAGCAAGGCTTCCACTAGCAGCAAACAGCAGCTGCAGATAAAAATAGAAGTTGATAAACAACTAGGATCTTTAGTTAAACATAGAAGTCACTCTCCATGACGGTGAGGAGTCCAGAGCAATAATGAAGTCTCTCCGATTCATTAGTGCCGAGGCATTTGTGTCAAATGCAGAATTTGCCAGGAAGAGTCTCAGCGCTGTTGCCCATAATCTTTTTCCTCTTCTTTTTAAAGCCAGCTATTTACTGGAGCAAGGGGAAGTGATTCATGACTTGGTAGAGAACTGGCCACTTGTTGACTTTAACATGGGAAAACTTTTGGGAGCTACTGTGGACTATGAGGAAGACCTGAGCCATAGAACATGTTCAGTGTGCTTGGAAAGCTGTCTGACAGGGCTGAGAGACTATGTGCTGAATCATCCTTCTCCCTACATGAAAAGATTGAAAGTGGTCGACCTGACAGGCATAAAAGATGTTGAAGTTCAGTTTTGTGAGTGCAAGAAGACAATGGGCAGGTGGGCCAGGACACAGCTGCTCTCTAAGCTTTGTTTAGAACTTCTGGTTTACCTGCAACAGGCACAGTGCAATCCAGGTACCTTTGAAATCTGTATTGATGTGCTAATTGACTTGTTTGTTACAGAGCGGAACTATGAGCTGGTTGCACAGGCTCTGTTGAAGAAATGCTATTGTCCACTGAAGATCTGCTGTGTGGCATTCAGATCAGACAACCTGACTTTGCAGAAATTCTTCTATATCATAAAGCTCACTGATCCTTCTTTGTTGCGCAAACTGGAAATAGTTCACAATGTTCGCTTGGAAATGGAACACCTGGAAATACTCTTCAACAGTATCCACTTCCCTCTATTGATGTCCTTGACCTTGCCAGCACGAACATTTAATGTGCGGAGGTTCACAGCTACAGATGAACAGATGCTTTCTAACATTGGAGAAAAGATGGGTGAAATGACACAGCTGACTGAGCTGAATATGTCATTTTCTATACTTACAGGAAGAATACAGAAGCTGCTCAGGTAATTTGGTCATCCTGCTTTCAATCAGACTAAAGAATAGCACTTTGTGCCATCAGCAAGCTGAGAATCTCTGAGAATAAGGGAAGTGAGTGTATCTCAGGGTATGTGGGGAAAGGGGCAGCAGGAGGCTAAGAAAGATTATTTGTTGGGGACAACTGAAAGTCAATGTATACCTAATACACTTCAAAGAACTAACTGTTTTTATTAGTCTTCCAGAATCCATCTGGTGAGTATGATGAGAATATACTTTTGCCTACTACATAAGAGAATGGTACATCCAGACTTTTTTTATTTGAGCTTATGTATTGATCAGATTGCATTTGCCTTTGGTGCAAGACCTGAGTCATATTTCAAGTATTTTAAGAGTCTCTTGTGAATTTTTTTCCTCTAAAAACCTGGCAAGAAATATACTAAGATTCCACAGCTACTGTATTTTAGGTGGGCAGGGGAATAGTAGACCTTGGTTTGAGACTTTGATTTCAGTTGTTTCTTATGTCTGTTCATGTCAAGGCAAGAGAAATCTGATGCTTATCTGTACTGCAAATTAAGCTGATAGGTGAATACTCATTATAAATTCCTGTGAGAAATCAGCAATTCTCCAAAAGATAACATGCTGCCTGTGAGAAGTGTCCATATTGGAAGAGGAAATAAATTCAATGTATGCTTTTCAGAGTGTCTAAAAAAAAAGGCAGACAGAAGTTTCATCCAGACAAATCACCTTGGTGTAAAATTCCTCCCATATAAGAAGTCATTTCATTTAACATTTGTGAATGGCATGCTGCTTATATTGATAGAAATAAATTGCAAGCTTGGTCCAGCTGGGGTTTTTGACAGAAGTCCCTCTAAAATTTAGTATGTATGAAAGGAATCTCTTGATCTTCATGTCAGAACTATTTTATGCTCAACTAGAATATAAGAGTACAATCTCACGTGCTTTTCTTCCAGCCTTCTTCATCAGAAAGTCTCTTTTGCAACTCCAGAACACTACGATGTGTAAATATCTTCGGCATTTAAAAACATAGCAGAAACAAAACTAGAAACAAAAGCAGATTATCTTGTTACAATACTGATTGGCATTCATCTTGGGATGAATCCTTCTTTAATGGAAATGATGTAAATAATCTCTGGAATTATAACAGCTTTCTACGAGAAACAGCCACGATGCTTTTATGGTAAGAGTGATCTGCAATTAATTCAGCAAGTCATAGATACTTGGCATAATATAAATCGTTACAAAACAGACATACAGAATGTTACCAAATTAATCCCCATTAAAATAGCACAATTGGAGTCACATAAAGGAGCTAATTCATGGAACTGGTATCAAGAGGAAAATATACTAGTTATTGTTGGCACATGCTTCTGTTTCTCAATAGAGGTTAGAAAAATTAATGAAAATGGCCAATGGCTGTATTCATAATATGGATAGTTGTATGAAATTTTGTAAATGTAGCTTTTAAATGTTTTATACCCTAAAACATTTTTTTCTCTTTAATTCTGCAGCCCACTAAAAACTCCACTGAAGATGCTGGATGTCTCTAACTGCTTCTTGAACCATGCTGATATGGCCTATTTAGCCAATAGCTTCCATGCTAACCACTTAGAAGCCCTGGACTTGAGTGGACATGATATACCTGGCCTTTACCCATCAACATTCTTTAAGCTCCTCAGCCATTCCTCTTCAGTGCTCAGGAGTCTTACCCTGGAGGACTGTAACATCCAAGACACTCATGTCAACATGCTGATTTTAGGTTTAAGCCCCTGCCAGAAGCTGCAGGAGTTTAAGTTTATTGGAAACCCACTGTCATCCCAAGCACTTAAACACCTTTTCACATTTCTCTGTGAATTGCCAATGCTGAAAAACGTGGAGTTCCCAGTTCCAAGGGACTGCTACCCTATTGGCATAACCTACCCCATTGATGATGCTAGTCTGTGCAAATTTGATCATCAAAAATATGAAAGTGTAGCAGAGGAGCTTAACCTCATTTTACTCCAAGCAAATAGGGAGGATGTGAAGGCCTCAACACCACTCTTTGGGAGTTATGATGCAGCTGTTCAGGAGACAAACAATGAACTGGGAGCTTACTTGATCAAGTCCTTCAAAGAGACTCTAGAAAAGTTCACTACTTCTTTTAACAAAATGAGTTAAAGTTGTAACATGGCAATGATGAGATGCTCTTCCAAATCAGAAGTTAGTCTTTTCTAGAACTGCACCTTCAATCATCAGTTACAAATTTTCTGTAATTTTTCAGCTGAATTTACTAGTGTTTGAATAGCCTCTGATCACCTGAGGTATTTTAACTTATGCTATATCTATTGCATACAGCTTACATAAGCACTGCTTAGTCACAAAAGAGGGAAGGACCCTTAATAGCTTACTATTTTATACAAAAGCACTTTGTTTCTCAGTAAAGTGTTTAAACTTGGCTTATTTCTTATATAGGTTCCTCTGGATTTGGCAGTGAGGCTTCTAGCCCAGCAGAAAAGACAGGAAAGCCCTTTTCCAAATCCAGCAGGAAGTCCCAAAGATTGTGCACATATCCTCACCTGTGGCGCTCCCTAAACTAATTTTTGGTTTTGCCCATGGCCTTCCCAATTCACCAATCTGTGTTTTATCCAGTACATTCCCAACAGTGGGGGATGTGTAACAGCCTCCATGTCCCTGTGCCTCTCTTTCTTCTGCAGAGGCAAGCACAATAAACAGAATTTGTCTAATGTGTTGTGCTGGTGAGGAGTAAAATTCCATTCTGAGGAGGCAGCAAACTAAACGGTACGCTGACAGCAGGGGATCTCACCCCACTTAACACAGCAATATAAAGCAACCTATGAGGACTCTGCTGATGCTCTTGCAAAGTGTATTTAGAAAGGTAGATCAGTACAGTGCTGCATAGCCATGCTTGTCATGTCAGCTGGGAAGTGCCTCAAGCTGCTGCCTTTGTGGAATCAACTTCTTGACAGGTTGAATGCACCCTGCTGGTTTCAACTGTTTCAAAGAAAACCTAGGACAGTGGTAATACTGAAAAAAAAAGACTAATGTCAAAAACACTTGTAAAATAAATGAATCCTATGCCAATTAAAAAAATGTGGGAAAGGGACAAGGCTGATTGCTGAGTAACTAGAAGTTCCTCTGTGTAAAACAGAATCCCTGGGTGGTAGGCAAGTGTCACAGCCTACTGAGTTTCTCACCTGTAAAACTAGAGACTTGCCTAGCTGCTAAGTAATAATAAAAAAGATGATTTATGCCCCATACTCTGCCATTAAATACACTTTAATAGTTCATGAAAATTTGATTAAACAACACTGAAAGTGAATGTTGCAGCAGGAGTTGAGATATCATTATAAAGATCATTATTAAGGTAACAAAGGTAGTTGAATTGAAATAATACTGGACCTCATAATCTGAGGGTAAGGAAAAACTTTCTTCATTTAGGCAGTGCTAGTTTGTGAAGCTTTCTGTTTATCCATGACAAGAACATGCAAGCAACTACTACCCTAATTTACCAGAAAAACCAAAACCAAAACAACACACCCCCAAACTAGTGGACTGAGTACTAAGCAGAGCTTGCAGGTTCCACAGCATGCATTTAAATGATTTTATATCTTCTTAACTGATGTTCTTCCTTCTAACATGTTTTACTGATTAAATATGATGGTAAAACTGGAAGTGAATGGACATGGCCTATTTATGTTTACAGAGTACACACACACACACACACAGAGTAGCCTAAGTTGACAAGCCAAGCAGCTGTGATTTAGAAAATGCCAGAACTGGGTTCCGTATGGACTTGCTTATATTTGGGCATAATTCTACATGCTCCTTTGTCCTTGCCTCTACTCTACTTTTTCCTCTCTCTGACCTTGCCATTCTTTCCATCCTAGACTTGACCCATGACTTCTCAGCTGGAGAAGTCGAATGGAGTCATTCGAGTTTTGCTATGCCAAGGATCTACTCCTTTGGGATGAATAGTGGCTCTTCCTCTTGCTGGGAGAGGATAGTCTTTGTACTGTATATGCAAATATGTAGTGTTTGTAACAGGTTGTACCTGGATGTGAAGGTTGGCCATTTTGGAACGTGCTGTTCTACAGCAACCAGTCCATGCCTATTTCAGTACACACAAAACAGACAGTTCTGCTTTCAGAATATTTAGATGCCTTATGAAGTCTGCTGTCTATGCAGCTCTCTCTCTGCTTTTTCCTTGCCTAAGGCCAGTCATGGTCCACCCCTTTATTTTATTTCCTCCTTTTTCCACAAACTCCTGCCTGTTTCCCACTTTCAGTCATATGTCTAAATTCTGGCTACCTGGGCAGGTAGAATTATGTAGAGGCCATAGCTTTCATTTTATTGCTGAGTGAGGAGCAACACTATGTCTATGTCAAATATTTGCTTTGAGCCTAGAGTATGCAGTGCATTGCACTATGGAAGTGATGTGCATGCAACACTTCATGCAGAGCAGGTGTGAGTGACTAACAAATGGAGCACACAGATTCATGTACAGACAGCTCTTTGATACTTTTCCTGGGAAACCAACTGTTCTGCAGAAGCACACAGACATCTTCAAAATTTTGCGATCTTCTAAAATGCATTTTGATAGGATTGAAGCAAAAGTCTTACTGTTTCCACTTGCATGTTGAAAGTTTATTGCTAGAAATATAGTATTAACTATTCTAAAATGCATAACAGGTTTTTCAGTACTTTAAATAGTATTGAATCCAAAATGCCAAACTGCAATGAAACACTGCTAGTATATGATAACAGTATTTTGTTATCATAAAACTCTGAACTTTCTAAGATAAATGTTGCATTTGGGCGAGGAGAGATTTGTACATTTTTGGAATGGAACCAGATTATTTTTTCTTTTAAATCGCACAATATCCAACTCTAGAGCCAACTTTAGAGCTTTAGCTCTCAGATATCCCATTTTTGTCTCTTTAGTTTCTTTCTTAATTATGGTTGTTATTGTTGATTTTAAATACAGCAAGGATTTGCACCATCTCTCGGAAGGGTTCCTGCATCTCTTCTGTCCCAGCAGTGCTGATTCTGGTTTGGGCCTGCTCTATCTTCCTTTGATCATGTGTTTGGAATTTGGAATTCTGCGATTAGAGAAGAGGGACTAATGCTACAATGACCTAAGCATAAAAAGTTACCTTATACTTTGCAAGTGCAGACAGATACCCTCAGAATCCTGCCTTGTGGTCCTTGTCTTCCTGTGTGTCACAATCATCAGCTTCACTCGGTTCAGTCCTGAGTAGATCCAAGTCCATTTGTCCTGTCTATCCAAAAAGCTGTCTAAAGCCTTAATCACATACCACATTGGGGTGGAGAAAGTCTTCTAAGCTCCCATTAAAGGCTGTCCAGCATCATGACTGAGAGATGGCAGGAGTTACTGCAACACTGGTCCAGGTGTCACTGGAATGGAGATGTGTGATGTGTTGTAAACAGAGATAAACGCAGTTACCTGCTGCAACATTTGCTCATTTTGTTCCTTTAAGTGTTTCAAGTTGAATACTTGAAGTCCCTTGAGGTTTATTTGTGAAAGACACAAAAGAGATGCATGTATGAAAAAAGTTGAAGACAAAACCAGGTTAAACCAAAACCATTCTCACCATTTTCAAGCAAATGTTCTAACACAAAATGCAATAGGTGGGTATCACAAAGAAGCTAAAGGCTGATTTTTGTTATTCCAAAACAAGGAAAGGGACTGTTAAATTTGTATTTTATTCACCATACTTTATTCAGTGTCATGTTTTATTCACCATATTTCATTTTTAAAATTTATTTGTATGTTTTCATTTCATTAAATGGGACATATTTTATTCATTAGTTGCTTGCAAATCTTTATTGCAGGGTGAGAATTGCTTTCTGCTGTTGAAATTGCTAACCCTCCCTATTCAGTAACTATCCATAGGCTGAGTTCAGTTAAATACCTAGGACATAGGATATAATTATTCTACTTCGACAATCTTTATGGAACTGAAGAACGGATAAGAAATACCTATATACTACACCAGTTAGTTTTCTGATTTGGTCTACCAATTTATAACCACAGAAGTTGAAACTGAAGGATAGACCTTTGCTACCTCTGATCTCTTCATAATTTAAGTCATATTATGTTTTGGCCACACACAGAGTAGTTGAAAAAAGCAACAGGAAAGAAAAGATGATTGTAAAATTTTTACTGTGTAAGAAGCAGCATGGCAGCTATGTGATTGGAGGCTGTTACCTGAGCAACATAAAACTCTATCAATAGAAAAAGGCAAATACACACAAATGTTGCAAGAAAGTTGTCATTAATGAAACTTCTTGATATAATCCTGTACTTTTAAAATTAATATTCTTAAACTCTAAAGTTATGGGCTACAGGTGCATTCTTCTGAACAAGTATGAGCTTTGCTTACAAACTCCCTCTCTCCTTAAAATATGCATCAGTCAACAACGTCAAGCAGGACTGGATGAACTACTCTTGCAAAGAAATAAGAGAAGGAACATTCTACCTGCTGCTTCTCTCCATACTGCCTTCAAGTACGTTGTGTGAAAATTGTTGTGTAGGATAAACATTTATGATAGGAATTTAATACCTGTTTCAAGGAATGTGTGGCTAAATGTCCACAGCTGCCTCTGTTTAATACCAAAATCAGCAATTGTAAGCATTATTTTCGAATTCTTTTTTTTTAAATAGTCTTATATCTAGACAAAGAAGCTTTGGTTTTGAAGAAAACAAACACTTCCTATTGGATTACTCCAGAAAGACTTGCAAAGTGATTATATAGTGTTTTTAATGGATAAAGGTCTTGGTTACAAAGGCCTTGACAGATGTCACTTTTGCCTTTCTACAGTAAAGGAATACAGTCAGTGTTATGAAAATATTTTCCACTATCTTTGAGCAGCTTAATTTTCAACTAACAAAACTTCTGACAATTTTTGTGGGCTACACACATGCTATGCCTGAGCTTAACAGCTTACATCTCTTAGAGCACTCTTTCTCTTGTTTACAAATGCATCTTAAAGTTCATGTTTCCCACTTCAGTAGACCATCTCAGAAAGACACTTCCTCAGACCCTCTGTCTTGAAGCCAAGAGTATCTCTCTAGACAGCTACTCTTCTGAGGCTCTCAGTAAGTGTTAAGATAGAAGTGACTTTGGGGACCATGT